TTCCATATCTGTCCTAATATAAAAGAAATCATTTAAATTACACAGTCAAAAATAATGGGTAAGAGGATGCATCATATTAATTTAGTAAGAACTTTCCAAATGTTGCCACAATATGGATCATACATCTCTGGTTTTTCAAATGTATTGAGGCTTTCTTGGTGGACTAGTATATGGCCAGTTATATCAATGTTTCATGGTCGAAAAAAAAAGTTTCAAATTGTGATTTAAGCATATAAAGTTGGATATATACCTATTCAGACTACATTGTTAGTTACGCTATTTATATTATCTATATTCTCACTTTTGTCTCCTTCATTCAGAGGCTAAGAAAGCTGTATGAAAGTCTACTTCTGTTATAATTCTTCCCTTCTTTGTATCCATACAGTTTTGCTTTCTTGTTGCTGATACTATTTTTATCCAATGCCTAAAAAATTACTGAAGCCATTTATTGATAATTGTACCCTTACATTACAACATTTCCACATTTTGTTTGCCAAGTAATTTGTGCCCACTGTTACACTCTTTCTAGGTCTCTTTGTTTTTGATATTTCTTATACATAGAGTGTCATTTTGATGTGTGGAGGTGGGGAGCAAGAGGTTTGTAGGAGAGGGGGTAAGTGAATTCCAAACTGAGGCATCCTCACTTTTAGTGCTGTTGCTGCATTTTTTTCTATTTTCTGTTTTCATAGTTTAAAAAAGTTTCCTCACTTTAAAAAAAGGTAATAGAGTGATGGTCTTCCCCTCTCATGAGATACAAACACAGAAACATGCAGTGGCAATTACAGTTAACAATTATCCTAAAACCAGCATTGAGATGAAGCCATGGATGGCAGAGAAAGATGGAAATAGGCTGACGTTGTAAATATATAATTATACATGTAGATTAATCTGTCTTGACCTCACCCTTCTTTGGATTTGCCATTCCATGAGCTAGTTAAATAAAATTTTTGTTTTTGTTTTTCTGTAATGGTGGTTATTGTTTCTTACTGTTTAATGCTACAATTTACCTGAATGCCAAGACAAAATTAATCTTGATTTAATTTGAAGTAGGAGTAAGGGATGAGCAAGATGAAGGTAAGCCCCAATATCTTAGGGAGCAAGCCTAAAATTGTGACCCGGGATGGTAGAGATACAGGAAAAGTAAACATGTAAATAGGATGCCATTATTTGGCATATTTCACGTTGTTTCCCTCTGTGACTTGAACATGTGTCCTACCCAAAATTCATGTTGAAGCTTAAATCCCCACTGTATTTGGGGAAGTGATTATATCCGGAGGGCTCCACCCTCATAAGTGGATTAGTTCCTTATAAAAAGGCTGGAGGAAACTAGCCTAGTTTCTTCTGTTCTTCCCATCTTCTACCATGTGAGGACATAGTGTTCATCACCCTTTGCCCTTTCTGTCATTTCTCCTATGTGTTGACACCTAGCCAGTGCTATATATGAGGAACAGGCCTTCACCACACACCAAACCTGCTAGCAGCTAAATCTTGGACTACCCAGCCCCAGAACTGTGAGAAATAATTTTTGTTGTTTACAAATTCCCTAGTCTCAGGTATTTTGTTATAGCAGCACAAATGGGCTAAGAAACTTTCTATAAACAACTCTCATGTTAATAGATGATTGTCTTTCCAATTGTAGCTGAGATGCCACTCTTCGAGATGGTGCTCATAGATGCAGTCTTTTTATGCCCCGACACCCTTCCCTGTTCTACTCTCCTTTCTGCTAGCTATTCTTGTGTGGAAGAGAGTAGAGTGACAGGGCATTTCAAACTGCATTGAGGGTGAACTTAGACTGTGTTTGGAGCAGATATTATAGATATAAAGTTTATGGAATAATTCAGGGTAAATATCAAATGTATGTGGCATTTGAGGAAGATTTGGTAATAATTTAAGAGTGTAGCCCATATTTTACCTTGGTACAATATCTAGCACATAGTAGTTCTCAATACACATGCTGAGTAAAGGAATGAAGGAATTAAAGTGAATTAAAAGTTAAATACATGTTTCCCAAGAATAAACTGTTTTAAAGGCCATCATGAGTCAGAAACTGAATTGGCAGCAGCAACTAACAGATAAACTCTCTGATTCCTGTCATCTGCTTCTGTGCAAAAGGAAAAGGAAACTATCAATCAATGTTATTGTAACCTGTCATTATTCTTGACAGCTTCTTTTTAACTTTTTTTTTTTTTTTTTTTGAGACGGAGTTTCGCTCTTGTTACCCAGGCTGGAGTGCAATGGCACGATCTCGGCTCACCGCAACCTCCGCCTCCTGGGTTCAGGCAATTCTCCTGCCTCAGCCTCCAGAGTAGCTGCGATTACAGGCATGCGCCACCATGCCCAGCTAATTTTTGTATTTTTAGTAGAGACGGGGTTTCACCATGTTGACCAGGATGGTCTCCATCTCTTGACCTTGTGATCCACCCGCCTCAGCCTCCCAAAGTACTGGGATTACAGGCGTGAGCCACCGTGCCCGGCCCTTTCACAGCTTCTTTTAAAACAACCCTGTCCCTTCTTTTCCCCCAAAGTTGCAAAATAAAAATTAAACTTGCATTTATTCAAGCATCAGACATCCACTGAGCCTTTATTCTGTGTCATCCTTTTGCACACAACTAAGAACATGAATAATTTGGAAACCTTAAAATCACACTAGAGGATATTTGCCATTTGTGAACCTGCAGCCCAGTCCTCACTTTCTGTAATGCAGCTTTGAAACTTGTATAAAGAAAAATAAACTATATGTATATTTTTATTTTTAGATGTTAACTTTCACACATTTCTCCAAAATTCACATAGACTTTTGCTAGGTCATAATTAGAAGGCAAACAAACACTAAGTCTTACTGGCTTGCAACAACAGTTAATTCTCACTCATTACAAACCGGTAACCTCAAGTCAGCTGCAGATCTTATCGACAGACCTTCTCTTTTCAGGACCCAGACTGGAAAAGCAGCTTCTATTTGAGACATGCCTTTCTCTTTCAGCAATGGAAAAGAGCAAGAGCTTAAATTCTTCAAGCTTCTGCTGGGACTTTGTGAACATCACGTTTGCTCATATGCAATGGCCAAAGTAAGTCAAATGCTTCCTTTTCCTGCTCCACCATGAAGGATTTGCGCCCAAATCTTGGGCGAAGGACAAAGAGGGAGTTTAAATATTGGGGATGCTAAAGTACATAACTCATTACTTTGGGAGGAAACATAAAAAAGAGAACATTCCACATTTTTAGCATTTTATTACTTAAATTTAGCTTTTTTTGTTAAACAAATGTTTATTAAGCACTCTTTTTGTTCCATATACTGTTCCATGTGCCTGTTATGTATTAATGAACAAAATGAAAAAAAATTCTCTACATTTTTGGAGCTTACTCACTAAACTTTTAAAACAAAATAAGCCAAATAAATAAGTTAATGGTACAATGAGATGCTCTTTTTTCCTCTTTTTTAATTTAAATAACATTTACAAATAATTAGCAACTTGTCCACTTTTAAGTCATACGACAAACATGGCTGAAAATGTGCACTGCTATTTAGAAATCCGGGGTATAAACAAAAGTACAAGTAAGTACAACATGTCAACTAAATAACAAGCTCTCATTCTGTTAGCATCTTCTCCTTAATTATCTTAACATCCAAAGTGTTTGAGGCTCTGTGACAAGAAATGCAAAATACATCAATTTTTTTTGTTCAAGAAAAATTTTTTATTAAATATTAGATATTAAATTAGCTAACAAGATATTAAAATTAGCTAACAAGTTACTTTTGTTTCATAATAAAATAATTACATTTTAGAACTGGAAGGCACCCGAGAGATTACACTGATCTCTGTTCATTAGGTATAATAGACCCTCTTCATCCCTTTCAAGTAAAAGTATGTTTTCATTAGTCACTCTATCCAAACCTTATTAGGCTGCCAAAACACTTCCGTAAAAGAAATGAAATGGGGCCGGGCGCGGTGGCTCAAGCCTGTAATCCCAGCACTTTGGGGGGCCGAGGCGGGTGGATCACGAGGTCAAGAGATCGAGACCATCCTGGTCAACATGGTGAAACTCCGTCTCTACTAAAATACAAAAAATCAGCTGGGCATGGTGGCACGTGCCTGTAATCCCAGCTACTCAGGAGGCTGAGGCAGGAGAATTGCCAGAACCCAGGAGGCGGAGGTTGCGGTGAGCCGAGATCGCGCCATTGCACTCCAGCCTGGGTAACAAGAGCGAAACTCCGTCTCAAAAAAAAAAAAAAAAAAAAAAAAAGAAAAGAAAAGAAATGAAATGGAAACAAAACAGTAAGATAAGGGCTTATTCCATATATCGAACTTTGGTCCTGGGCTGTAAGGTCACCACTATTTTAGTTTACATGCTCAGACATTGCTCCCCAAACCTGCAACTTGATAAGGTAGCTGGCTCCTGAAGAATGAAGAATCTGACACCTACTGCACTAGAATCAGTCTTTTTCAACACCCTAAGGCACTTAGCTCTAAAGAACTGCCCAGGCTCTCCTTTGTATCCTGACGAGCTCCTCTTTAGAGCCGCTACTGTCTGCTTTTGACAGCCAACCTCAAGGAATACTGACTTAATCCAGGGGTCCCAATAACATTTAATATTTATCTTCCTTTTCCGGGAGAACTCTATATTCATCCAAGTTGCCCAAGTGAGCAGTTCCCTCCCCCAAGTAATTAGTTCTACTCCCCAGGGAGTCTGTGGGTGCATCCCTCTGTCCCCTTTGAAATGTCCATTATGGTTTTCCTCTGTAAATATGTGAATACGTATCCAAAAGATGCGAATCTTTAGAAATGTATTCATAATGCTACTATCACATGTAAAAATTAAAGATAATTCCTTAATATCACCGGATGTCCAGTGTTCAAATTTTTCCAGTCTCACGTTTTGGTACATTTTTTAATAATCATATGTTTAACTCGTTTTCATCTCCGAGACGTTGATTTCCTCGCCACTCTCCTGGGAGTCGCGCTTCCCTGCAGTCCGGTGGGAACCTGAGGCGTTTCCCTCAGCAGCAAAAGAGTCGGAAGAACAACGCGAGGCAACGTGCTGGAAACCGTAGCCTTCGGAACTGCGGTCACGCCTCCCATGCGAGCTCTGGAGGGAGCACTTTATGTGTTGCACTGAGGGTAGTCTCCGGAAACGCGATTGGCAGCGAGCGCCGGAAGCGGTCTTGGGTCTCCTGCTGTGGCCGAGGACTGCTACGCTGAAGGGGCTGGGTACGTGTTTTCCTTCACGACCGGAGCGGAGAGGAGCCGGGATCGCCGCGGCGATGGAACAGGCCTCGGAAAAGCGCACAGCCAGCGCGCTGTTTGCGGGGTTCCGGGCCTTGGGGCTTTTCAGCAACGACATTCCACACGTGGTGCGGTTCAGCGCGCTCAAGCGCCGGTTCTATGTAACAACCTGCGTAGGCAAGAGTTTCCACACTTATGACGTGAGTGACCTCTTTGGTTGGCTTCCCAGGAATCATCCCTCCCGACCCCTCACTCTGTCCTGGAGCAATCCGGTTCTCTCTTCCCGTCTACCACGGGCTTCCCTTCTTTAACCCTTCTCTGTCCTATTAATGTTTCACCATCCGATCACATAACACGTGCTGATTTAGCATTTGCAGTCCTGCTAGGGCGAGTTTCAGAGGCAGGCTGGCCAAGGGGACACTGCTAGACCACATCTCAGTTCTGTGGCAATAATATTTGTTCAGTGAATACTTACTGATCTTCCCTTGAAGGTGGAAACATGATTAAGACAAATCTCTACTTCTTGCATTCTTAATGAGAGAGAAAAACACGCACGCTATTACGTTATTGGTGACATGATCTGGCTTAGAAATTCGCACTAGGTAGAATACATTGGGATGATCAGAGAGGGTGAGATTAATTACGGTTAGGGAAAATATCTGATAGCAATCAGTTATTTTCAACTAACGCTAAGTGTCTGGCACTGTCACTCTAAGCCTTGCAGCCGTTTCTTGGCAAGGTAGATATCATTATACCGTAGCACCTTTATATGAACTATAAAGGTAAATTTCGGCCGGGCGCGGTGGCTCAGCCTGTAATCCCAGCACTTTGGGATGCCAAGGCAGGCCGATCACGAGGTCAGGATATCGAGACCATCCTGGCCAACAGGGTGAAACACCGTCTCTACTAAAAATACAAAAATTAACTGGGCTTGGTGGCGCGCGCCTGTAGTAGTCCCAGCTACTTGGGAGGCTGAGGCAGTAGAATTGCTTGAACCCATGAGGCGGAGGTTGCAGTGAGCAGAGATCGGGCCATTGCACTCCAGCCTGGCGACAGAGCGAGACTCGTTTCAAAAAAAAAAAAAAAAAAAAACAGAAGTAAATTTCAGAAAAATTGTTACTTGTCAATGATGATTTTTTTTGCCTTTAAGAGCTTATCAATCATTGTAATAGTGTCTCTTGTTTACTAATTTCTTTTTTCTTCTCCAAAACAATGTAAGCTCTGTGAGAGCCCGAACCTTGGTGATGAGAATGGTAATAGTGTTAAGTACTTTCTTTTATGGAAAACATGTTGTAGAGTTGTCTCTTTCGGAGGATTGTGACTATCAAATGGATTATTAGCAAGAAAAGCTGGGAGCTGGGAACCAGTTGAGTTAGTGGAAGAGGAAAGTGAGGGCTTAACTGAGGTCAAGAGCAGTTGGGTTTCTCAGTCTGGGTTGGTAAGGGAGACAGGGTGGGTTAGAAGCATACCATTAATCCTGTGAGAGCAGTATTATCATTCTCTGCACTTGGTCCTTGCTTGCTAACTTTTGCTGATTATGTTTTCTTCTTGGAAATGTAATTTTTCTAAGTTTCTCTCAAAGAGCTTTTAAAATCTTGTCTTTGGTACAGTGTCTTTGCTGACACTGTGTTACACACAAACACATGTGTTTTTCCCTTTATTCTACTTCCAAAGAAACCCTTTGGTTAGGAGAGTTACATATTTGCACATTTTACAAAGTTAGCAATTTACTTACAGTGCATTGACATTTAGTCACAATAAAGATGGCTTTTAAGGTCTCCTCTAGTTCTAACACTGATGATACATTCGTAACATCATGGCATGCAAATGCTCTTTACCCAGACTGTACACTGCTCAGACTAGCCAACGCATTGGGCTATGACCTCTGAAACTGAAAATACTTGGGAGTGAAAAAAACAAAACAAAACAATGGTACTAATGAACCTAAGTCACTAATTGGGTCTACAAGTGCTCTGTCCCATGACTGTGGCTATATAAGCTGTCCTCAGTCAGACTTCCTACAGTCCCACAGAGTAGCTGCTTCTACAGGGGAAACTAGACAAGTTGTGAATAGGTGGTGGTAGTGATGGTAGCAGCTATGATGTATTGAGCAATTACTATATGACTGGCCCATTCTGTTTTACACAAATTTACTCATTGAATCCTTTTAACAGTCCCATAAAGTAAATAAATTCCTGTTTTACAGATGAAAAATTTGAGGCACAGGGAGCTTATTTTTCTAGGGTCATACAATTGGATCAGTAGCCTTGACTGAGTCAGCAAATTAGAGTCTGCAAGCCACTCTAGCCCACTGCTTGTTTTTGTATGACCCAGGAGTTCTGAATGATTTTGACGTGTTTAAATGTTAGCAGGGTCAGGCTGGGGGTGAGGAGAAGGATATTTCATGACATGCAAACTTTGTGAAAATCAAATGTCAGTATGTATGGATAAAAGTTTAATACACCCATGCACATTATTTATGTATTGTGTATGGCTGTTTTCATGCTACAGTGGCAGAAGTGAGTAGTTGCAACAGACCACATGCATGGCCTGCAAAGCCTAAAATATTTAATACTTGGCTCATTATAGAAAACTTATGCCTACCCTTTCCATCACCACTCCTGGTGAAATATAGTTGAAAATCTAAACTTTTCTAATGATAAAAATTAGGATCAGTAAGTGTCTTTCTTATGAAGGACAGCATAGCAAATATACTTAATGAGGTTGTATCTTTATCTTCAGGTGTTAGGTTATTATGATTGTGTTTGTTAATGAAAATTTAACCTTTTTTTTTTTTAAACAGGTTCAGAAACTGAGTCTGGTTGCAGTAAGTAAGTATAGACTTTATTCTGAATTTATGCATATCTAAAAATTTTTTTTATTTTGACATAAATTTGAGATTTACAGAACATATAAGCAAGCCAGGGTAACATGTATATCTGATAAACTTACATATCAGAAACAAAAAAGGATATCAGGATAGAATCATGTTTTGCTTTCAGTTGTTACATGTCTTTTATCTTTTTTAATCTGAAACTGTTCTTTAGACTTTCTTTGTGGTTCATCATATTGACGCATTGACATTTTTGAAGAGTACAGGCTCATTTAGAATGTCCTTCAGTTTGAGATTTTTTGACATTTCTTCAGGATTAGATTCAGGTTGTACCCTTTGGCAGGAATCACAGTGAATTGTATCGGAAGGCACATGCTGTTGGTTAGTTCTATTCATGGCAGTCATTGGTTAGGAGGCTCCATTTTAAAGTTAATGTTTTGGCCTTGGTTATCAATAAGTATCCTTTGGTAATATGCACTGGGACTATGTAAATATCCTACTACTCTTCAAAGTTATCATCTCTGCTTTTAGCATTTTATGATGATACTTAACAGTTATTAGTATGATGGTTGCCAAATACATGTTGATTATCCTTAATCTAAAAACTTGAAACCCAAAATGCTCCAAAGTCTGAAACTTTTTGAAAACTAACATGATGTTCAAAGGGAAATGTTCATTGGAACATTTCTGATTTCAGATTTTCAGATTAATAATGTTCACCTGGTCATGCAAATAGTCCAAAATCCAAAACACTCTGAAATCTGAAACCCTTCTGATCTCAAGTATTTCAGATAAAGCATTGTTGGCCTGAAGTGATTTTCTTTTGCCATTATTCCTTCTGTAAGGAAAAGTTTTCCCTTTTCTCACATTCCGGTATGTTTTTTCAGTGGAAGAGTTTTGTTTTGTTTTGTTTTTGAGATGGAGTTTAGCTCTTCTGGCCCAGGTGGGAGTGTAGTGGCATGATCTTGGCTCACCACGACCTCCACCTCCCAAGTTTAAGTGATTCTCCTGCCTCGGCCTCCTGAGTAGCTGGGATTACAGGCATGCGCCTCTATGCCCAGCTAATTTTGTATTTTTAGTAGAGATGGGGATTCTCCATGCTGGTCAGGCTGGTCTCGAAATCCTGACCTCAGGTGGTCTGCCCATCTCAACCTCCCAGAGTACTGGGATTACAGGCTTGAGCCATCACACTGGCTTTTTTTTGTTTTTTTTTTTTTTGTTTTGTTTTTTTTATTTAACTATCTAATAGGATAAAGGATTTCTCAGGGCCAAGAGATATTAACTTTACCATTAAATATGGTCCTTGTGAGAGAAACAGAAAAGACCTACAAGGACTGTAATGTGTATGTCTATTAAACTTATATTTTAATAATAGATTGGAAGGCAGAAGAAAGGCATTGGAACTTAAATTGAATACAAAAGTGAATGATAAACCTATAGAAACAGGATTATGCAAACAAATCCTAATAATGGAATTTACAGCATGAAAAATACAACAATCCTCTGTCTTCTAAACCTCATGCCTCAAAAAGAGGAAATGAAAAGGTCAGTATGACCAAGATAATGAGAGAAGAATCACATGTCACGTGAGAAGTGCTCGACTGATAGGCATATTTACCTGGTGAAGACTAGAAACAATATTGTCTTTAAATGTTTTAGGAGTGGACATATAGAATACCATATGGAATATTTTTGGATTGGTCCAAAGGGTAGAGTTAGAGATCCAGGTTTTGAGTTACTTTTAAAATTTTTCTGGAGTTATTAGTGAACTTGATGTTCCAGAAGATAATCACATGTTCACATGGGCCAAGCATGGTGGTTCATGCCTGTAATCCCAGCACTTTGGAAGGCCAAGGCGGGCAGATCACCTGAGGTCAGGAGTTCAAGACCAGCCTGTCTAACATGGCAAAACCCTGCTTCTACTAAAAATGCAAAAATTAGCCGACCGTGGTGGTACACACTGGTAATCCTAGCTACTTGAGAGGCTGAGGCAGGAGAATCACTTGAACTCAGGAGGCAGATGTTGGAGCGTGCCTAGATTGCACAACTGCACTCCAGCCTGGGTGGCACAACGAGACATCTCTCAAAAAAAAAGAAAAAACAGGTGTTCACATGAAGACTGGATGACTGTCTGTCAGAGCTTTATGTATCAAATGACAGTTTTTTTCCAAATAACCTCAAAAAGCTTCTTTTCATTTCTCTAAGATTATGTTTTTATTTCTGCAAATCCTAGACCTTTGTTCTCTTAGGGAAGAACAAGGTGATTTCCTATCCTTAGTTTCATAGTTACTTCTAGATAGATAAAATATTTTAGTCAACATTTTATACTCTGATTCTCAACTTTGATCTTTATAAATACTTTTAACTTATAGCCATGAAAAATGTTATATGTATACTTGAGGTTTCTCTTTAACATCTTAAAAATTCTTGTTTCTTTCATTTTGTATTTTCTCCTAGGTAATTCTGTTCCACAGGATATCTGCTGCATGGCAGCTGATGGCAGATTAGTCTTTGCTGCGTATGGAAATGTTTTCTCTGCATTTGCCCGTAATAAAGAGGTTTGTATCACTAAACTTAACTTGTTTGTCTTTTGCAGTCAGTAGTTATTTGTTATGATAGTGAAGGGCACACTCTGGAAATATACAGTATTCTTTTATTTCTAATGTATATTCAGTTTTCTGGAGGAAGATAAATTTTCAGAAAAGGCTTACTTAAAACTGGTGCTTTACTCAGTTTCTTTGTCAGAGATGAGTATCAGAATTACTTGGACACCTTCTTTAAAATTTTTTATGCCCAGTCCCCATCTCAAGGGTTTTTTGTTCTGTGTATTTGTTGAGATAGGACATAATGTGTATTATTAAGTGTTTTTTTTTTTTTTTTTTTTTTTAATGCTTTCCTGGGAATATTTTACTAGCACTTTATGTGGATTGGTTATTCACTATGCATAACTTAGCTCATAACTCTTTTTCTAAAAACCAGATGCTTGTTCCCTATTTAGAGAATGCTACATTCTGTGTTTTCTCCACTGCTAAGAAAAGAGCTTTTTGGGTCTAAATCTACCAGTTTTCTGAATTTGTCCTGGAACAACTAGCTCGAGAGATGACCTGGCTTTAATGGTCTAGAATGAAAGGAAAAGTAGGAATGGGGATACAAAGAAACCCAAACGATAATATCACTGTACTTGTCAGGGACTTGGAGTGAGGTGGTTCTCACAGTCTTTTATCATCACTGTCTGTGGCAGAGGGAGGTAACTTACCTGTGGAGTTCTTTTAATAGAAGGTGTTCAGATTTGTAGACTTGGGAAAAATGTTCATTTTTGTATTGTTTATAGTTTTCTCAGGGAGATATATGTGATTCACATGAGGAGACTTTATCTTATATGTATATCCTATATGTGGTTCAAATGCAGAGACTTTAATAAAGGACCTATATGCACAGGTATGGTCAGGGTTAGTGGAACAAAGTAGGGGTGGGGAGGCATCAGACACTATCAACTGTAGGAAGTTGTTACCACCCCTAATGCCAAAGTGCCACAGAGAAGAAACAGTTTTATTGGAATCTGGTGAGGACTGAAACCATGGAGAAAGGGCTATACTTTTGGAAGGATCAGCTACGATAAGGGACTCTGTTAAAGCAGAGAGGTATGGGGAAGAAGACCCTGAATCCCCCTTTCGTAACTCATCTGACGGCCAGTTGATTATGGAGTATATAGAGATCAGCCTTCTGGAACATACCATCTCACTAGGATATATGTAGTTGCACTGATTGAATTGGGTGAGGGACCTAGGTCTGTATGCATGCCTCCTCTCTAACCTGAGTTGGAAGGCTGAGCCTCAGAGGTCTCATTTCTTTGTTCTTAATGAACAGTTTACCTTCTTGTTGAACTGGCTGAGGGAGCAGATGAACACGCCTGGTTCCTTGATATTTATGTGTTCATCCTAACCTTGAATAATCAAGAGTTGGGCAACATTTCTTAACAGAAGCATCTCAGGATTGGCATGTTTTTGGGATAATATGAACAATATGACATAATGACTGAGTAATATGAAATTCTTTTAAACTTTGATGTTATAGATAGTGTATACCTTTAAGGGTCATAAGGCAGAAATCCATCTCTTGCAACCCTTTGGAGACCACATTATCTCTGTTGATACTGACAGCATTCTTATTATTTGGCACATATATTCAGAAGGTAAGAGTTAACAATTTGTTTGCTTTATCTTAGGGTAGTATGTGTTTAGTTAACATTTAAAATCTGTGTCAATATCTGTGCCAGAGGTTTGGCCTGTAAATAGTAAAAAAATAAAAATAAAAATCTTTAACATGTATAAGAAAAAAAGTTCTAGGTAAGAAAGAGATAAACAACTTTAGCAAGTTAAGTACTTATAAATTGTTGGATGTGCTTACCTCAACGAATATATTTTCCATTGCTATTTTGTTATAATATATTATTACAAAATGATTTGTTATATTGTTTTCCCTATGGAGTGAATATTGATGTATTTTCATACCTGAATAATTCTTGGTTTGTATTTCAACTTTTAGTAAAGGAGACTTTAATAGTAAACTTGATCTTATAATCAGAAAGAAAATATACATCGTTTCCTAGGGATATGAATCAGTTTCTTTCAACTGTGATAGTCTTAGACCAGGCGTCCCCAAACTACGGCCCACGGGCTGCATGCAGCCCCCTGAGGCCATTTATCCGGCCCCTCGCCACACTTCAGGAAGGGGCACCTCTTTCATTGGTGGTCAGTGAGAGGAGCACAGTATGTGGTGGCCCTCCAGTGGTCTGAGGGACAGTGAACTGGCCCCATGTGTAAAAAGTTTGGGGACGCCTGTCTTAGACAGTGGCTACGTTTATGGGATTATGTATCTTTAAACACGAAGCATTTATTCCTAGAATATCTACACCTTTCCTCAATAAAATACCTTCTTTGATATGCAAATTTATTGGAAAATTTAGTGAAACATTGTTTTAATTCTGGAGGAACTGTAAAGTAAAAAGAAAAATTCAAACATAGAAATTTTGAATATAACAAAAGACTTCAGAGAATTTTTTGGTCTTAGAGCAAGTCACCACTGGTTATGCCACCCCACACTCCACAGGGTTGTAAGTTTTTTTCTTTTCCTTTATTAGAGGTTCCTTTGTGGAAATGTGTGACAAAACTAGTATTCTTACTAGTTTCACTGAGATGTGCCTTTTATTTTTGGCATATTTTGAGTGGCCCATCAAACTTGCCATATAGTTGGGTCTTTATTCCCTGGAAAAGCTAAGTATAAGCACTTCACTTGGAATATTCACTCCTGCTTGTGGATCAAGTTATAGAAACATTAATGCTGATCTTTTTTTAAACTTTATTATCCTTTTCTGTAAAGTAATTCAAAAGTGAATGAAACTTTTAATAGTATTTTTATTAGAAGTTGTAGAAAATTTTTCACAGTCTAAATTACATTTACAAGTTGCCCTTCATTTATTTTCTCAAGGAATGTTTATAGATTAGTATCTGATTCTGTGGTTTATTTTAGCATATGAATCTTTGATATGATAGACTTTTAAGCAATAAATATATGGTTATATAAAACATTTTAAACTATTTTATAAAAAATAATTATAACTTTCACTTTTGTAGAAGAATACCTGCAATTGACTTTTGATAAAACAGTATTTAAAATTTCTGCAATTTTGCATCCAAGTACCTACTTGAATAAAATACTTCTGGGCAGTGAACAAGGAAGCCTGCAATTGTGGAATGTAAAATCCAAGTAAGTATTTTAGTTAGAAAATAATATAGTTGGCCAGGCGCGGTGGCTCAAACTTGTAATCCCAGCACTTTGGGAGGCCGAGGTGGGTGGATCATGAGGTCAGGAGATCGAGACCATCCTGGTCAACATGGTGAAACCCCGTCTCTACTAAAAATACAAAAAATTAGCTGGGCATAGTGGTGCGTGCCTGTAATCCCAGCTACTCCGGAGGCTGAGGCAGGAGAATTGCCTGAACCCAGGAGGCGGAGGTTGCAGTGAGCCGAGATCGCGCCATTGCACTCCAGCCTGGGTAACAAGAGCGAAACTCCGTCTCAAAAAAAAAAAAAAAGAAAATAATATAGTTGTCCCCTTATCATTATCTATTACTTCCTGATACATACTTAAGTCTCATTTCTCCTGCAGTTGTTATTTATTTGGAGGATTGTCTATAAATACAGTTGGTCCTCTGTATCAGAGGAGTCAACCAACTTTGGATCAAAAATATTCAAGAAAAAATAAATAATAATACAACAATAAAAATCACATTTTAGCCGGGCGCGGTGGCTCAAGCCTGTAATCCCAGCACTTTGGGAGGCCGAGGCGGGTGGATCACGAGGTCAAGAGATCGAGACCATCCTGGTCAACACGGTGAAACCCTGTCTCTACTAAAAATAGAAAAAATTAGCTGGGCATGGTGGTGTATGCCTGTAATCCCAGCTACTCAGGAGGCTGAGGCAGGAGAATTGCTTGAACCCAGGAGGCGGAGGTTGCGGTGAGCCGAGATCGTGCCATTGCACTCCAGCCTGGGTAACAAGAGCGAAACTCCGTCTCAAAAAAAAAAAAAATCATATTTTAAAATAGTACAGATTAACAGCTATTTACATAATTTTACACAGTATTAGGTTTTTTGAGTAAGCTAGAGATTAAAGTATATGCATAAATGTGTGATGATTATATGCATTTTATGTAAGGGACTTGAGCATCTCTTAACTTTGGTATCAGCAGAGAGGTTGGGAAGACCTGGAACCAATCACCCAGGGATACTGAGCTATACAACTATATGCTTGCTTTTGGAGTTGTTGCTGGTGGCATCACTTATGTGAAAGCTGGCATGTGATCCTGACACGTTAGACAACTTCATAAATGCTCATTGAAAAGTATGTACTGTTGGCCTAACAACTGTAAAGAATTGCTATACAGAAGGCTCTAATAATATGAGATCTGTCAGAAAATAATAATTATGAGATTATTCTTGGGGAGCTTCTAGTTTTCCATACATGAAAATTTTCCAAATATGAAGGTAAAAGATGGAAAAGTAAATCAATGATAATTTAGTGCTAGCATTTAGAAATGATTTTCAGGGTTGAAAGTATTTTCATCATTTCCCATAGATATGGTGAATATCTACTATAATATAGCTGGAGGGCTGGATAAATTATTTTGAATACTTCTACCCATTAATTAAACATTTATCAGTAAAAAAAAAGGTGGCAGCTCAGACTTCTTTGTGTAGCATTTAAAAAAGCAAATAAAAATATTTGACCATCCAAATTGTTTTTTCCAAAGTCTTTATAAATTCAGAAGAGAAAATAAGATTATTAAAGGTATAATGTTTTGCCGGGCGCGGTGGCTCAAACCTGTAATCCCAGCACTTTGGGAGGCTGAGACGGGTGGATCATGAGGTCAAGAGATCGAGACCATTCTGGTCAACATGGTGAAACCCCGTCTCTACTAAAAATACAAAAAGTTAGCTGGGCATGGTGACGCATGCCTGTAATCCCAGCTACTCTGGAGGTTGAGGCAGGAGAATTGCCTGAACCCAGGAGGCGGAGGTTGCGGTGAGCCAAGATCGTGCCATTGCACTCCAGCCTGGGTAACAAGAGCGAAACTCCATCTCAAAAAAAAAAAAAAAAGGTATAATGTTTTAAATCAGTGCTTCGTTTCAATTTAACAAGTACCATTGACTGCCTGCTTTGTGCTAGGTTCAGGGATGGTGACTGAAATGCTGTCTTTGCCCTTACGGTTATTTTCTTTAGTTCTTTATTTGATATGTACATTCTTTACTGTACTTTAAATAGCCATTGTATTCAGTAAACTAATCTGTGCCCATTTACACAATTTAATATGTGATTTAATACTTTAATGACAATTGTTATGATTTCAGATACTTCTGTTTGTTCCATGGATGTGTTATTTATCATTCATGGCTTGCTTCTGAAATCAAGAGCAGCATTACTATTGTCATGTAACAGTCATATAACATACATAGAATATTGTTTTTAAAATATGTTAGTCCCTTTCATGACGATCTTTTTGCAGTCCTAAATTTTTTTAAATTGTTGTCTGTAATATGAAATGGTTTATCACTCATACATTTTTTTTTTCCCACTTTGGACATTTAATTTCTTTTTTTTTTTTTTTTGTTTGAGACTGAGTTTCGCTCATTACCCAGGCTGGAGCGCAATGGCGCAATCTCGGCTCACCGCAACCTCCGCCTCCTGGGTTCAGGCAATTCTCCTGCCTCAGCCTCCTGAGTAGCTGGGATTACAGGCACGCACCACCATGCCCAGCTAATTTTTTTTGTGTGTTTTTAGTAGAGACAGGGTTTCACCATGTCGACCAGGATGGTCTCGAACTCTCGACCTCGTGATCCACCCGCCTTGGCCTCCCAAAGTGCTGGGATTACAGGCTTGAGCCACCGCGCCCGGCCTGGACATTTAATTTCTTAAAGAGGTGGCATAGCATAGTAGTTTGAGATCTAGAATTTGGATGATATTACTAACCTTGTGACGTTAGCTTAATTATCAGAATACTGTGTAGAAGAGTTAGAAATTAATAAATATCACCTATTATTTCATTTTTTAAATGTGTAGCTGATTTTGTTTTCCTCCAAAAAAAAAAGCTTTCAACTATTTTTCTTCTTGTAGTAAACTTCTGTATACATTTCCAGGATGGAAAGTTGGAGTGACAGCTCTTCAGCAGGTTAGTATTTTTCTGTTAAATCGAAGAGGAAACAAAGTTAATAGGAAAATCTTTTAGTTTCAAGAATCAATCATAATTTTAGATGTAAAGACAAAACAATATATAGCTTAGTTTACCTTTAAAATTGTTACCCTGAAGAAATAGTGTTTTGGAAATGTAGTTTAAAACAAGTAATAATGCCTTCGCCAATAACAATTTTGGAATCTGCTTATAGTTTGACTTTAAACCCATGGATCCTTCTTTACTAATCATTTTGTGGAGATATATAGTCCAGTGTCTTGTGTAGACTGGTAATGAGTATTCAGCAATGCAAGGGATATTGTAAGTCATGCAGATAAATTTGTCAAGATGTTGAGATTTATGGTCTGAAATAATTGGAGCCAAAATCCTAATGTTTGATTCGATGATGGACTATTTAAGAAATAACTACTTTTTTAGGCCGGGCGCGGTGGCTCAAGCCTGTAATCCCAGCACTTTGGGAGGCCGAGGCGGGTGGATCACGAGGTCAAGAGATCGAGACCATCCTGGTCAACAAGGTGAAACCCCATCTCTACTAAAAATACAAAAAGTTAGCTGGGCATGGTGGTGCGTGCCTGTAATCCCAGCTACTTAGGAGGCTGAGGCAGGAGAATTGCCTGAGCCCAGGAGGCGGAGGTTGCAGTGAGCCGAGATCGCGCCATTGCACTCCAGCCTGGGTAACAAGAGCGAAACTCCGTCTCAAAAAAAAAAAAAAAAAGAAAGAAAGAACTACTTTTTTAAATGACTCTGCAAAATATGTATAAATAAATGAATGCATGCCTGTATTGAATCTTGTGTTTCTATTGGCCACATATGTAGCCAGTATACACTTATTTTTCTTAGCATCCACTTTCTATACTTGCCCAATTTATATGTATTCCTTATCTTCTCTTACTGACATCAATGTAGCTCCACTTTTGCCTATCCAGAAGACTCCATAAATATCGGAGGATTAGGTCGTTTGAAGACAAGGGATTATTTGTTTCAGTATCTCCAGTTTCTACACAGAGTCTGATGCATAGTAGACACTTGATGACAAATTAATAAAATGTGTAGCCTGATTCCAGTCTATAAGGATATTGACATTGATCTTTGCTAAAGTAAAGAAATTCATAATAGAGCCTGTGTGTAAGATTTATATTACAGTATAGACCGTAATAACCGTAGAATATTAGAACTGGAATAGGCTCATTGTAATACATTTTTTTGCCTTCTCCCCTGTTTTGTAAGTTTTTCTACTTTCTTGAGTAAACAATTTTTCACTTCCTCTGTAATTGGTTACACATTGCCATGCATGTCACAGGCCTTGTATGTTTTCTAAGAGTTGTCTCCTTTTTCTGTTTCCATCCAATCCAGTGATCTGTACTGATTTTATACATAGCTTTCTTTTCTGTTGTGGCTGTTTTCTTATCAAAATCTTACCAGCTAGGTTTTGGGGATGGGGATGGGATGTTGACTGGAAGAATCGAAGCTGGGAAGTAATTTGGAAAAATAATTTCCAAATACTTCTATGCTGAATAAAAAAGTATGCCAGATTAGTAATACTCGTTGAGTTTTTCTGCCACGTTTAGGAAAATACTTATTATTTCTTTTGATAACACCTAAGAAATGATGCATAAGGATTATTAAAGCTATTTTGTTTAAGAAAACAAAATAAAAGTTTGAATAATTCAATTTTTAGGCACCAGCTGTGGATGTTGTTGCTATTGGTCTTATGTCAGGTCAAGTTATCATTCACAACATTAAATTTAATGAAACATTAATGAAGTTTCGTCAAGACTGGGGACCCATTACTTCAATTTCATTTCGCACAGGTAACTTTTAACATACTTACTGATAAGAGTTAAGGAAACTTAAAATTCATTACCTTAAAATTCAGAAATTTTTTTTGTCTGGTAGCTTAATCTAATAGGAGTGAATGAATACCGGGGTAAAAGGAGGCAAAGAAATTTGAATAAATAATTGGTATATAGTTTTTTTCTCACTTTATGGAATAAAAGGGAAGAGAGAAGAATTCTTGTTTATTTTGGGAGGATCTATAAGTATTTTTCTTAATGTATTTTATTTTAATAACAGATGGTCATCCTGTAATGGCAGCTGGAAGCCCATGTGGCCATATTGGACTCTGGGATCTAGAGGACAAAAAATTAATCAATCAAATGAGAAATGCACACTCTACAGCAATTGCCGGACTGACATTTCTCCATAGAGAGCCACTTCTTGTCACAAATGGCGGTGACAATGCTCTCAGGGTATTATGATGATTGTTATCTTCCTGGCTCATCTGACTTACCCTTTTGGTTATTACAAGCTTGCTTTAATGTATCAGCTTTCAACCTAGAAGATGAATGTGGAAGGAGGTATTGGTATAGGTGAAAGAAAAAGCACAGTAGGTGACATGATTGCAGTGAAGCAGGAAAGAATTACAGTTTAATTTCTCCCACAATACCCACCCTCCCCCTTATACTTCCAGGGTCAGTGGCTTAGCAAGCACTACACAATGCCAGTTGATGTATGTAGGGGGTGATTTGACTGCTTGCAGATAAAAACTTTACTTTTTTATTTCTTGGCAGATATGGATATTTGATGGTCCTACAGGTGACGGCCGACTTTTGAGATTCAGAATGGGTCATAGTGCTCCTCTTACCACTATCAGATACTATGGACAGAATGGACAACAGATTCTAAGCGCAAGTGAGCTTCTGCTTCATACTATTAGTTTTTTTTTAGCAAGTGTTGAGATTTGGGTGCCCTATTAGGTTTGGTATTTACAAATATTTAGATTTGCATATCTCTTTGAGTGACTTAAAGTTATTATCTGTACTTAATGTGTCCTTCTGTTTACTAATCCTCAGAGACAGAATGGTCAGATTCTAAAAATTCTGTTAGTCTGCTGAAAATTACTAGTATCTCATTTTCATTTTATCCTTTATTCTCACTAAATGCCATTCTATACAAAGTTGAGTATTTTAGGCCAGGCATGGTGGCTCACCCCTGTAATCTCAGCCCTTTGGGAGGCTGAGGTGGGTGGATCACCTGAGGTTGGGAGTTCAAGACCAGCCTGACAAACATTGAGAAACCCCGTCTCGACTAAAAATAGAAAATATTAGCCAGACATGGTGGCATATACCTGTAATCCCAGATACCAGGGAGGCTGAGGCAGGAGAATTGCCTGAACCCAGGAGGCAGAGGTTGCGGTGAGCCAGCATCGCGCCGTTACACTCCAACCTGGCGACAAGAGCAAAACGCCATCTCAAGAAAAAAAAAAAAGTTGAGTGTTTTAATGTAGTTGCAATCTGGCTTTCCCTTTAAAGTGTCCCAAACTGTAACTTCAGGTTTTTCAAATTGAATTTTATAAAATTTGTGATTCATATAGTCCATTGTTTTGATGAAACTTGATTAGAGATTTTCTGTGTATGTCAACAGGTCAAGATGGAACTCTTCAGTCATTTTCCACGGTACATGAAAAATTCAATAAGAGTTTGGGACATGGTAGGTCCTTTGCAAGACAGAAAATAAGCTGGTCACAAAAGAAACATTTCAACATTCTATGAGACAACTGGAGAAAGCTTCATTAATAATTTTCTCTTTTCTTGGATGAAATAGATAAACGTAAACCATAAGAAGTGGTTGAAGTTCTGCTATGAGGTTATTGGAAAAAGTTAGACATCTTGGGTGGTAAAAACATACTATTGCCACCCAAAAGATGTTGATGGCCTCTCTTGAGCTGTCTCTAGAGTGCACAGGTTTTTAAATGGAAGGTAGCTTAGAGAAAGCATCAAAGTAAGCAGTGTCCAATTTTTTTGCTTCAAAGCAATCATTTTATTCTCCTTCCCTTCCCATGGTTATCAGCCTTTGAAAGATTTTGTTTATTAAACAAGAAAATCTTTTTCAGTTTTATTACTAATTTTTAAGTGACTATCTTTACTATTCATTTATGTATATACTTTCAGATGAAATTTAAGATTATTTTTTAATCAATATCTAAAGTAATTTCTCTTAGAATTAAAAAATAACAGTGGTAGTAACATCTGTTTTGTTTCTGACTTAAATGGGAATATCTTGAACTTTATAGTTATATGACGATAGCTTTTCTTTTACATACTTCTTTTTTTTTTTTATTAAGAAGGATTCATAGCTTTCTGTGTCCCCCTTGCCTCCAACCCCAGGATTAATAAATAAAAAGAGAGTCAAACGTAAAGGACTTCAGAATACTATGTCAGTGAGACTTCCACCCATCACAAAGTTTGCAGCAGGTAAGTAACTTCATAGTGTATTTCAAGACGTTCTCCTTTGTCATTGTCTCCTACTGTGTGCTATTTTATTTTCTGTTTTAATAAATGCTTTTACAGATATTAATAAGCATTCAGAAAGTAACTCAGGTACATGCTGATCTTGTGTGAAGACTAAAATGAGTTCTTTTAAATGTGAACTTATTATCTATTAACCTCAGGCTTTGCTCTTCATAATAGCTATTACTAATATTTGATTTTATAGCCTTTCTTTTTATTCTGTCATATGCCTAGTATAATGAAAGTCACTAATGCAAAAAGAACTGGAACAGCAAAGTATGAGAACATGGAGCTCTGACTAATTAAGATCTAAGAATATCAGGATTTAGTATGCTATGTCATTTCACCAGTGCTTCTTTCAATGAAGTGATTTTAAGAAAAATGTAGATAATGGGTTTGTTGCCTGAAATCTATCATGGGAAATTACTGTGTAGGCACTATTTCTATTTGAAGGTTATTACTAAGACCACCTTTCTGACTTTTCTTAGAGCTTGAGTGATATTTCTAAAAACACATCTAAATCACATTACACGCTTAAAATTTTTTAGTGGCTTCTTACACCTTTAGAGTGGAATCTCATCTCCTTAACATGACTTTCGAGACCTTTGGTAGTGTGGTCCTGATTGCCTTCCCCGACTCCCATTCCTCCCAAAAGATATTACACTTACTTGCTGTCCTCAGTTTTATTCATTTTTTTTTCTTGTGCATGTTATCCCCCCACCCCAGGTAATTTCTACTTGTTCTACCACTCTATCCAGAGAGACATTTATTTTCCCCAAATCTCCTGAGTGGTTTTATAAGACACTATCATATTTTACTGCAATTTCTTCTAATTCAAATCTCTTATTAGTTTGTTGTATACTAAAAACACATAAATACACACATTTTTAATTTGTCTTAAAAAATAACCTCTCGTTAGATTGGAAACATTAGTATCAGGTAGTACCTGTTTAGTTTACCATTGTATGCCTAGTGTCTGATGATAACCTGAAATATTAGATGCTTAATAAGTAATAGATGAATAACAGAATGAAAAGTAATTTGATTTATGATTTTTATTATGTTTTAGAGGAAGCTCGTGAGAGTGACTGGGATGGTATCATTGCTTGCCATCAAGGTAAGCTATCTTGCTCAACGTGGAATTACCAAAAATCTACAATAGGTGCTTACTTTCTCAAGCCAAAAGAATTGAAGAAAGATGACATAACTGCAACAGTAAGTGAGCTTGTTTATAAGGATATTTTCGCTTTAAAGCTTTCCTATGGAAATCTTGTTGTACTCAAGGTTTCTCCTCATAATATTAGTTGAAAAAACATAGTTTAACATTAAGCTTTCCAAGTTACAGACATTTATTTGAAATTGGGTGTGAGGTATTATCTCATTGTGGTTCTGATTTCTATTTCCCTACTGACATGAAGAATGAACATCTTTTCATGTGGTTATAGACCATTTGTATGTCTTTTTTGAGAAATATTTAAAAATAATTAACTTGTAATATCTCTTTATATATTCTCAATACAAGTCCCTTATCAGATATTTGAATTACAAATGTTTTCTTCCATTCTGTAGGCTATCATTTCATTTTCTTTTTGGTATCATTTTTAACTAAAAGTTTTGAGTTTTGATGAAGTTCAGTTTATTCTTATATTGCTTATGCTTTTTGAAAAAGCAATGTGTAGCAGAAGGACACGAAGATTTGCTCCTGTGACTGATAAGAGCTTCCTGGTTTTAGCTCTTATATTTGGGTTTATTCTCTCTGAATTGATTTTTGTGTATGGTATGATATAGGGATCCAAATTCATGTTTTTGCATGTGGATATCCAGTTGTCTCAGCACAATTTGTTCACAAGACCATTCTTTCTCCATTGAATGATCTTGTTACCTCCACTGAAATACAGAAAAAAATATATTGATACACTATTGTTATTTTAAGTAGTAAAATGGGTTTATAGTAGAACTTGCTTATAAACCAAATGTTCCCCCTGTAGTGTGTCTTATATATTCCCTTCCTAAAATGTCATAATTAAAATATTTTGGGCTTTTGCTTGGGCATTCTAACTAATGGTATGTTTATGGTTTGATGACAGCCACGGAAGCAGATAATAAAGGCAAGACAAAAAGAAATTAGGCAATGGAATGTTTTGACTTTAGCCTTGTTAATAAAATAAAAATTGAAGGCTAGTCCCGTATGTAGTTCTCCGGACTTTGTACATTTAAATTGAGTTAACCTTAGTTATGTTTTGTTTTCTTAGTTAATAATTCTTGATACTTTTAAAAGAGTGGAGATAGAATCTAGCATATATTCTTATACACCCAAATATAATTACTTTATGTCTAAGAAAACTAATGAAAGAATGTATTTATCGTGCTTTTTTTTTAAATAAAAAGGAACAAGTAGTAGATTAAAAAAAATACTCTGGCAAGCATAAAGTGCAATAAAATGTTATTTTCTTTGTCATTTATGGGGTTTTTTGTTTGTTTGTTTGTTTGTTTTCTCCTTAAAGGCAGTGGATATAACTTCTTGTGGAAACTTTGCTGTAATTGGCCTCTCATCAGGAACTGTAGATGTATATAACATGCAGTCTGGTATACATCGAGGAAGTTTCGGCAAGGATCAAGGTACAGAATTTTTTCCTTTTTTTAAATTAATATAGATAAATACAAGACTAGTAATGATAGCTTGCATTTATAATCTTTAAGTCCTGGGCATTTTGCTAAAGTTTAAGATGGGTTATCAATCAACCCTATACGGCAGATACTGCAGTTGTATCAAAAGGACCATGTTGAAAGAGAAAAGTCATGGGTACCTAAGAGTTATGTGGATATTAGGCAGATTAATTTTTTTTTCTCTTTTGCTTTAAGCAGAAAATTTTAACAAAATGTTCAAACCTATGTGATACCAACCTGATTTCTGTTTTTTTTTACTCAGTGTTAATAATTAAGATTCTTCTCCTTACCCCCCTGAAATTCAGATTAATTTCAAAATTGTTCAAGGATATTTAAGTGGCAGCTTATGTATTTGAATTAAGGAATCACTATGTGTATTGTTCAGAGAGACACTGCCAATTCTGATTTCTTTTTTTCTTTTGACATGTACCTTACAGCTCACAAGGGATCTATTAGAGGTGTTTCAGTGGATGGATTAAACCAGTTGACAGTTACAACTGGTAGTGAAGGATTACTCAAATTCTGGAACTTTAAAAGCAAAAGTTTAATCCATTCTATGGGCCTCAGTTCATCTCCAAATATCATGTTGCTTCATAGAGACAGGTAAACTTTTAATGATAATGGATTTTCTCTTTGATTCTTTTGGTAAAAGTTTTAAAGTCACAATTTACCAAATGAGAAAAATCAGAGTATTTAATAAAGAACGGCATTTGGCTTAATTTTCACCTAAGTGTTTTTGATTTAACAAAATTCAAGTGGATATAAGACTTTAGTTCAAGGGTTTTTTATTTACTAAAACTGGTGTATTTATCTTACTAGTGGCATTCTGGGACTCGCCTTGGATGACTTCTCCATTAGTGTTGTGGACATAGAAACTAGGAAGATTGTCAGAGAGTTTTCTGGACACCAAGGCCAAATAAATGACATGGTAAAACAAACTCTAGCTGATAAAACTCAACTTATTTCTACTTCTGTTTGGGTGTGTTATCCTTTAATAGCCTTAAAATCATTATATGAGGTGGTTATCAATTTTAATTTGCAGGCCATTTTTCAAAGATTTTTAAAGAAAGTTTTAAATTAAAAGTTTAATACTTTTCAGGGAGTTGATGCCATCAAATTGAAGTGTAAGTTTTAGAGCTCATCTTTTTTTCATTAAACAAGGCCAGAGTATACTATAGATATGAATGATCCATTGGTTTATGTCATTTTTAACTTAATATTAAAATAAGCTGCGAGAACTTATTTCTGTTTTACTATGTATGGAATGAATTAATAGTAAAAGACCGTTTGCTTGGAATATTTGGTATCTGGTTTATTTTAGCTTAGTGCTATTTCTGGAGTTTATGTATGTTAATTCTGAAAGGATTTAATTAATAAAAATGTGTTTAAGTTTACTATTATGTTCCTATAGTGGGATATATGATATGGTAAGAAGTAAAGTAGTTTAAAAAGCATATTTTATTCAAAAGAACTTTTAAAATAAATTTGTCATTCGAGGACCATATTAAGTCTATGTTACTATTTTTCATCAATTGCAGATACTTTGATTTGCTTGAAAATGGAAAAAGTAAAATAAAAATAAAACCCTAATACTTAGTGACAAACCCAACAGCTACAGTTACTAGTTTTCACACCAAAAAATCAGAATTTACTTCTTTCCTTAAGAATTGAAGGAAAAAAATCCTGGTCAGGACATTGTGTTCTGCAGATCAGAGGCTGGCAGAATTACACATCAACAGAATTTGTTTTGACAGCATCTGTGAAATGAGGATGGGAGTTGGTTGTGCTGAAATGGCAATTTTGAAAACATCTGTGTCAACTTGCTCTTCCTTTTTCTTTCTTTTTCAAACCTTACTGTCAACTTGTATATCTAGAGTTTCCCTGTTCAGTAATAAGTTACTTCTTTTAGTTAAATCTGAGAATTTATAACATGACTTTACCTCTCAGAGTCATTCTTTCCCATGCTTTGCTATCTGTACCATCCTTCTGTAAGTTGATCTATTTGTAACTTGAGATTTGAGTTCCCGTTATATTACTGCAGCCTGATAATATTTGCATATTCCAGTATCACCCACTAATTTAAACTGCTGGATGAACAATATGCTACAACTACAAGCCTTAAAGTTTTTCTTTTTGGGTCATTTTTCACATGTGCTCTAATTTGTGCCTGACGACCCTTAGGTACTGCAGGCAAAGAGATCTATTATTTATCCATTTTTATAGCTAGAAAAGATAATGGGTGGCATAAGTAGTTTATTTAAATTTGTTTTGAAAAAATCTGATTATTATGGCTTATGTTTAGAAATAAAGCTTTATTAAAAGAGAAAAGAATATGTTTAACATAAGCTTCAAGAAAAATAGACTCAATCACACACATAAACATATTGTCTGTAAATAAATGGAAAATTATGGTTTGAAAATTAATGCAATACACTTTATTTTTTTAACTTTTAGTAATTCATTTAAAAGCCTAATCTTTATCCAAATTCCGTATCAGTGGTATTTAGGAAGTGGTATTTTCTTTTATATGAAATAAGACAGCCTGAATGTTACTCAAATTAATTTTTTTATGAAGCCTGCATTATCTTTTCATTTATTGCATTCTTTAAGGTGTTAACTTTATATACATACATGCATACATATAAATATATCCATATATATTTTAAATATATATGTATATTATATTTTCTTAATTTAAAGGCTTTTAGTCCTGATGGTCGTTGGTTAATAAGCGCTGCAATGGATTGCTCTGTTAGGACTTGGGACCTTCCTTCTGGATGGTAAGTTTGTATTTCTAAATCCCTAACCTTTATAAAAAGATTTCTAAGTTATTTTCTTCACATGTGACTTTTACCAGTAGTTAATAGATTATATGCTTTTCCAGTGTGACTATATTTGGAGATTTTTCTGACATGACTATATTGTGTCCTTGGAGTGTTTTTAATGATAACTAAACAGCAGGTAGTAGTGTCATGAAAGATAATAGAAAAGTGAAATCTCTCTTAGGTTTTCTAATCCTGCAGAATTGAGATACAGAAGCAAGTTGTCTAAACCTTAGGAAAGCTCATTTGGCCTTTTTGATAAAGCTCAGACTTAAGGATGACAAACTTCTATTTTGAGTTTTTTTAGTTCATGCTGAATTTAGTTAGAAAGTAAAAAACGCTAACTTTTCCTTTTTGTATATTATATCTCTTGTGGTACTCTAACATAATTCTTAAAAGAAGGCATTTTAGATAGTCTTAGTGCATTTTCTGTTGCTTGGAATATTGAAACCCTGTTATTTCTAAAGAAAAGGAGTTTGTTTCTTACAGTTTGGGAGATTGAAAAGCCCCAAGTCAAGAGGCCATAGCTGGTGAGAGCCTTCTTGCTGGTGGAGACTCTGAATAGTCCCAAGGTAGTATGGGGTATCACATTAGTAAGGGTGATACCCCATACCACCTTGGGACTGTCACTCAGCGTGATAATGTAATGGCTCAAGTCTGTCTTCCTTTTCTTATAAAGCCACCAGTTTCCCTTTCATGATAATCCATTAATCTATGAATGGGTTAATCCATTAATGAGGACAGAGTCCTCATGATCCAATCACCTCTTAAAGGCCCTCCCCCTCAGTACTGTCACATTGTGGATTAAGTTTAAACATGAGTTTTAGAGGGGACATTCAAACTATATCTTAAAAGTAGTAAAAATATGTGTCTTTAGATTTGGGTAAAACCTAACAGATGTTCAGAAATCTATTTCATGGGTTGAAATTTGCTCCTATTCTAGCACTTTAAAGAGAAAACAACCAAATCTGTAAATGGTATAAACAGAAGAGACATACAGAATGTGTGTGGGGTTTGTCGTTAAAAATTATGTAGGTGTAGATACCATTTAAAATCATATCATTTAACATAGGATTGCCTAGATGAGTATGAAGAAAGGAAGAATTATGGGAATAGCAAAACATCTAATTTAACAGTACCATACCATTAAAAAAAGATAGATGAGAAAAATCAGAAGGAAGGTGGTACTTTTTAATCTAAAATTTTCCTAAATTAAGCTCTGTTCACTTCCTCTTCCTACTCAGGAATTGGATAAGCTCATACATGAAAACAATTTGACCTTTAGGAAGGAAAAACCCTGATGTCCTCAGTTCCCTTCAAGTTTGAAACAAGCCTGAGGCATACCTACCTATCTTGAGTATACAGTGGATTTGTAGTAAGCACTGCTAAGGATTGTTGCTAGTGGGTCCAGCTCTAATAACTAGGGATCTTTGTGCACAGGTGTGTCTCTTTCACTTAAAATAGAGTAAATCAAAATATAATTTATTGACTGTATCCTCCTTTGGTTTTAGAAGGTTCACCTAAAGTTGGTATTTCTTTAATTAAACATTTTGTTAAAGACACTATTAGAAATATTAGTGGTCTGTCACTTCTTGGGCTTTTGCTATTTTCTAAAAGTTAATGTTAACTAATTTGAGTTGTTGTAAAGTAAGAAAGTTATATAAATAGTAGAGTTGGCATAGTGCCTTTTTCATTTTCTTTTTTAATAGTTTTAGTTTATATTATTGGGAGAGATAGATTATTCAGTAGTAATAAATCGGCAGGTTTTTTTTAAGTGGTTAATTCATCTTCGAAATAGAAAAATTAGGATCTGAAAGTAGCATTCAAAGCCACTAACTTTTGATTCAGCATTAGCCTTTTGCTGAATTTCTTATATCAGTAAAAAGTTGAAAAGATCAAAATCTGATAAATTTTCAACTCTAGTATCTTATTTTTAGGTGAGCATAGGCCATTGTAAGTGAATAGAGAGACATGAAGCTGGGTGTAGCACAAGAGCAAGAAGTGACCACATCGAATTATTAAAAGAAAATGTAATAAAATGAACATTGATTGGAAAAAGCATATTTTTATTTAAAAAAATAGTTTCAGTTAAAATTTGAAGTGGACCAAATGAGAGAGCTTGAATAACTATCAAACAACTGCTGCTGCTTAATTGCAACTAAGCTGACATTTACGATATGCTGCTAGGCACTGTGAGTGCTTTTATTTTTCATATCCTAAGAGGTTGTAGGTACTATTACTGTTATTAGTCCCATTTCAAAAATGATGAAGTGGAGGCTTTTAGAAAAGTTAAGTGATTTGCCCAAGGCAACTTAGTTTATAAATGGCAAAATAAGCACAGGAGAAAGAACTGTTGTTATGTTTATTTATTTTTATTTTTATTTTTTTTTGAGATGGAGTTTCACTCTTGTTACCCAGGCTGGAGTGCAATGGCACGATCTCGGCTCACTGCAACCTCCGCCTCCTGGGTTCAGGCAATTCTCCTGCCTCAGCCTCCTCAATAGCTGGGATTACAGGCACGCGCCACCATGCCCAGCTAATTTTTTGTATTTTTAGTAGAGACGGGGTTTCACCATGTTGACCGGAATGGTCTCGATCTCTTGACCTTGTGATCCACCCGCCTCAGCCTCCCAAAGTGCTGGGATTACAGGCTTGAGCCACCACGCCTGGCAGAACTGTTGTTATGTTATCGCCTTGGCTCAGACTGTGTCTTGTTTTAAGAATGAACTGATTTTCTTGATGTGGAAGATAATAAAGTTAAGGTTAGTGTTTTATTATACAACCGTGGGTAACTTGGGTTTTTTTTTAATTTCCCTCTTTATTTATTTTTTTTTTTTTTTTGAGACGGAGTTTCGCTCTTGTTACCCAGGCTGGAGTGCAATGGCGCGATCTCGGCTCACCGCAACCTCCGCCTCCTGGGCTCAGGCAATTCTCCTGCCTCAGCCTCCTGAGTAGCTGGGATTACAGGCACACGCCACCACGCCCAGCTAGTTTTTTTGTATTTTTTAGTAGAGACGGGGTTTCACCATGTTGACCAGGATGGTCTCGATCTCTCGACCTCGTGATCCACCCGCCTTGGCCTCCCAAAGTGCTGGGATTACAGGCTTGAGCCACCGCACCTGGCCTTAATTTCCCTCTTTTTTAAAAAACATAATTCAACCTATGGAGATTCCTAGTTTTTCTTTCAGTTACATAATTTGAATAATGAAAACATGTTACATAGCCTGGAAAGTGAAGCTGTCTATGAGTAAACCCTTGAGTGTATTAACATACAGGGATATCCATCTGGAATTGTGCCTGTTTTAAACAAATTGCGTAGGTATTAAACTTTCCTATGAAGTTTTTTTTTAAGTGCTGAAACATTTTTTATGTTTGTAAAATTCTCAGAGAAACAGTTGAAATTTTATATCTCTGAAATTATCGTTCCTTTACCACCACCTTTTATGTCTGGTTGTTTTTGATCTAACAGAAGTTCAGATTGAATTTTTTTTTTTTTTCCGAGACAAAGTCTTGTTCTGTTGCCCAGGCTGGAGTGCAGTGTTGCAATCTCAGCTCACTGCAACATCCGTCTCCAGGGTTCAAGGGATTCTCCTACCTCAGGCTCCCGAGCAGCTGGGACCACAGGCACACCCCTCCATACCCGGCTAATTTTTTTTTGTATATTTAATGGAGAAAGGGTTTCACCATGTTGGCTAAGCTGGTCTCAAACTCCTGACCTCAATGATCTGCCCACCTCATTCTCCCAAAATGCTGCGATTACAGGCATCAGCCACCACTCCCGGTCCAGATTGAGTTCTTTGAGGGATGAGGAATATGTAAAATTAAATAGTCTTCATAGAATTCTTCATTTGTTCTGTCTTACCCCACCCCTACTTCCTGAGGAACATTACATGAGAAGAATTGGAATAGAACATTGTTTTGAATTTCTCACTGAGGCAAAAACATCCCTTTGTGCTACTCCTTAAAGATTTCTGTGGAAGATGATTTTAGCACTTTGAAAATAGAACATATGGAAACAGTCTCCATTTGGGCAAAATAATCATCAGAAACAACCTACTGAATGTATATGCAGGGCTCTGATCTTGTAATCTGATCCCTTAGAATAGGAATTGTATTAATATTCTTTCGGAAGAAATTATAAGGTACCTGGGACTGAACTTATTTTTTTAAGATTAGCATGAAACTGTATGGTAGTTTTAGGTCTGGGATGAGCCTGTGCATTTATGTTTTATGAACTAATGTGACAGTGTAGAATATGCTGTGTATGTGGAAACCACCTTCCTCAATTTGGTGGTTTTATATAATGGAAGTCCCATCTACCCACACACCACAGCTGTGGAAATGAAGTTACACAACGAAGTTGACAAGATAATTATAGTTTAAATAAAATAAGTTTGCTCAAGCAATTAAGTTTTCTTCTTAACAGATAGTTCCTAAACATGTTAGGAAGTTTTACTCTTCACATACATAAACTTTTGATGACTAATATTTAGACAAAGGAGATACCTTAAGATTTGAAATTGCCATATCGTAGGTTTAATCTTCATCTGTATGTGTTAGAATAATATCTTCATCTCTGGATTGTTTGGATTAAATGGCTTAACATAAATAACTTAACAGTCCATGGCATAGAGTAAGTGTTTAGCAAGTGCTTTCCCCAATTCCTTTGATTCCCAACAAAAGCCATTCTTGTGTGCTTTCGAACAGAAATCAGACAAGCTATTGCTCCCTTTCCCGTAAAGGACAACTAAACAGCAGTCATTTTCCTAAACACAGTTTGATGGGTGTGTGTTTGTTTCCAGTGCTTTTAATTGTCTTTTCTTGCAGTCATTGTTTAAGGTTTACATTTTTATTGGCTCTTTCAGCAAATTGAGAGAGGCATTTTACCATGGGTGAGCAACTTAATGCCTCCCACTGGACAGTCTTCATTTACATTTGAGCTGCTCACGGTGTGTCCTGTCAATCACTGGTGTAGGCATACCCTGGGTGTGTATAAGCTATTGCCCTATTTTGTGCTTCAGTTTCAGTAGTGGCTTTACTAGAATGTATATTAGCTAACAATATGAATTGGGTAGAACTGCTTGAGTGAATATACTGACCCAATTGCTCTCTGCCTTGAGTGAATTTAAAATCTTACTGGACCTCAGTTTTCTGGACTGTATGGTAAGGACGATCTGCCTTGTAGGGTTTGTGAAGATTAGATTAGTTAGCACACTCAAGTACTGAGGATACTTCCTCACATAGAGCACTAAAAAAAGTGTTACTCTTGAAGTAATTTGTATTATTAATGTACATCCTGAACTTGAGTCATTTGTGTGTACCTTCCTATGGATATATTTATATATATATATTTACTGACTTCAGAATAGCTGAAGTCAATAAATAAAATATGTTTATTGACTTCAGAATTGCTGTCATTGGACTGGGCGCGGTGGCTCACGCCTATAATCCCAGCACTTTGGGAGGCCGAATAGGGTGGATCACAAGGTCAAGAGATTGAGACCATCCTGGTCAGCATGGTGAAACCCCCTCTCTACTAAAAATATAAAAATTAGCTGGGCATGGTGGCGCACACCTGTAGTCCCAGCTACTCGGGAGGCTGAGGCAGAACTGCTTGAACCCAGGAGGTGGAAGTTGCAGTGAGCCGAGATCGTGCCATTGCACTCCAGCCTGGGTAACAAGAGCGAAACTCCATCTCAAAAAAAAAAAAAGAATAGCTGTCATTAAAAACCAGTATACTCTGCTGAAAGCTACTCACTTTTAGGCAGCCTAAGGAATCTTTCCAGCAGGATTCAGATGAGTATAGGCCTTCTCTTTGTTTCTTAAATATACCTCTTTTCGCTTTTTGCTCTCACCATCCTAGTTATCTTTGTTGCTTGTTAGATGATTACTACATATTCTCACCATTCTCTCTGTTCTAATATATTCTACATTCTGATTGCAAATTTTCTATGAAAGAGAAGATTATGCCACTATCTCCTCTTCAGTGGTTAATGACTTTTCATCAATTACAAGATTAAAACAAACTCAGGTGTTTGGTATATAAAACATTGTATGCAGCCTTATCCTTATGCTTATGCTTATGCTTAATGGTCCTACAAAACTGCACTCCTCACTATATACAATTGTATTTTCCCTCGCCTTATCTGCCACATTTCTCTTAGCCAGAAAATGCTTTCTCTACTAGACATCAATATCCATTGAAATCCTGTCCATTTGTAAAGCTCCCCTCAAACACAAGTGTTCTCTGTGAAGCCCATTCTGAGTCCTCTGCCTGGTTGTGGTTACTCTCCCTTTCACCCCAACTTGTAAACCCCTTCAGGATTTTAAAGCTATGGGACTAGTTTCCATAAATTACTTTGTGGCTCTAGAGACTGAATTTTCATGTGTTTCATGTATAGCATAACTACTTATTTGAAAAACAGCTGCAGTTGCTCAAAAGGTTTTTTTTTTAAATTACCATTCTTATTTACATCCTTTTTGTTATATTACTTTCTCCTCTTGCCTAAGTTTTTCATTAGTTTCACTGAAGTAACAAAAAATACAGAATACTAATAATTAGATTTATTTTAAATGTTATGTCTTTAGAATTGTCCCCAAGTCATCCTATCAAAATTTAGTATTCCAGAAAAACAGATTTCCTCCTCTTTTCTCCCTTTTGTTGAAACTGCTTCTCCAGTTAGTTGGTCTAGTTAATGTTGTGTCTTTCTCATTAAGTGAGATTATTTTCACATAGTAACGTAGTTAACAAAGCTGTTTATTAGTGGAGACTTTCTGATTGATACTGATGATTAAAAAAACACCAACACGCATTTTCTGCATCTCTTATCCCTTGTCCTTTTAGCAAAAATATTTTTGTGAATTATATCCTTTTTGTAGAGTTCAGATAATTTTAATGTGTTAATTATTTCTGTAGCCTGATAGACTGCTTTTTGTTGGACTCGGCTCCTCTGAATGTTTCTATGTCTCCTACTGGAGACTTTCTGGCAACTTCCCATGTGGACCACCTTGGAATTTATCTATGGTAAGTTCTTTCATACAGTGCTGTTTTGGGATAATGAAGATTGTATTGTCAGAAAGTTATAGTTGCTAAAGTGGTCATTAAATGGAAATGTCACAGGTTAACATAAATACTTAATTCACTGTAAGTTTGTGATTGATTAAACATCTGCTTGGTAATGTAGACCGCTTTTCTTAAGTATATATTCTAAACCAAATGATTGATTTTTATCTGTTATTGTATTTGGCTTTTATTTGCAGAAAGAATAAGTTAATTAAAAGTTTAGCAAAAAGGAGTCCTCAGCCAGGCCATAGTTTTCCTGCCAGTGTCCCACTACTACTTTAATGAACTTGGCCAGTCACTTCTGAACTTCAGCCTACTTTGTCTATAAAAAAAGGCACGAGTATAAGCAGAATACTTTCTGAGATTTATTCTAGTTGCATGACCATGTAAAGATCCTTATATGATCTTCAAATTCTCTTATGATGAACTTGTAAGGGATTATGATTGCTCGTAATAAATAGAACATCACCTGTGTTTAGAAAAAATTTTGTCTCTTTCCTAACTTAAAACATCTAATTCTTTTAACTATTATTATTGAGTAAAAGAAAGAATTGATTGCAGAGAAACATTTAATTATAAAATGCTATAATTATATTTGAAGATACAAAGCAATTTTAATATATAATAGAAATAGACCCTGTTCACCCTAATTTGTAAAATGGAGTATCTCCTAGAATCCATGAGGCTACAACAATTTAGAAAAGAATAGTAGCTATGAGACCTCCCAGCAGGAGTATGGCCTTTCTCTATAAAGTACTGCTATTAATAACTCAAAACCTGAAATTCTTAATTTTTATTTTCTGTTCCAGCTTCATAAAGCGTGCGGGAAAAAAAAAAACCTGTCCCCTACTTTGGGACAGGTGTCTACATCTTCATTAGTCATCCATGGCCAGGGTGCAGACTGAGAAGTAGAAATATAGCTACTTAGAGGGATATTCTAGAAAAGGGGAATCTATGATCTTTCAGCAACTGCAAGAATATGCTCAACACAGTCACGCTGTGACTCACTCTCTGAGTTCATTTTTCCTTCTGTTACAATATCCTTAAATAAAGGTTGATATATGTCAAGACAATATATGAAAGTTATTTTGCCTTATAAAAGTATTATCTGCTACTGGTCTGTCTTTAATACTATGTCAGGAAAGAGACTCAATAATTTATATAGCTTTATTATTTATAATGGCATCTATGACATAAATCAAGGCATTTTTAAATTGATACAGTCTATCTTTGAGGCCTTTTTTTAACTAATAGAAGTCTGTAGTCAAATTTAAGATTGTAGCGTTTTTCCCTGAAGAAACTTTTTATAATTTTTAAAATATTGCTTCTGTTTTGTTTTCTCAGGTCCAATATTTCTCTGTATTCAGTTGTTTCATTACGGCCACTTCCTACAGATTATGTCCCTTCAGTAGTGATGCTTCCTGGTACTTGCCAAACCCAAGGTAATCACAAAATTGCAAAATAATTTTTGAGGTATAATATTATAAACCTAATATAGGAGATACTGCTACCAAAGGCAAACTTTAGTGCATTCAACCAAAGTGTTTTTTAACTGATATAGAAAAGACTTTGAATGACTTTGTGAATTTATGCAGAAATATAATAGATGTGGCATTTATAATATATCAAATAGTATACCAGTGAAGAAGGTGTTTTGGGACTAGTGATGGGAGTTGTAGTTAATATGAGAAAATAAGGAAAAGACAGGGATAAGGAAATGAAATAAATGAATAGTTTACAAGGCTGCATAGAGTGAACATGTTATGAAACAGATGAATTTGAAATGAATTAAGTTGCTTTTATATGGTAAAAATCTCATTTTGGGTTAATTTGTTTTACCTGAACATTTTTTAAAGATGTAGAAGTATCAGAAGAAACAGTAGAACCAAGTGATGAAATGATAGAGTATGATTCACCAGAACAGTTGGATGAGCAATTGGTGACTCTTTCACTTCTTCCTGAATCACGGTGGAAAAACCTTCTTAATCTTGATGTTATTAAGGTAATACTGTAGTACATTTAATTAATGCACTTAATAGACCCCAAGCATGCATCCAGAAGCATTTTTATGTTTGGTTTTTGTTTTGTTTTGTTTTTTGAGACGGAGTTTCGCTCTTGTTACCCAGGCTGGAGTGCAATGGCGCAATCTCGGCTCACCGCAACCTCCGCCTCCTTGTCTCAGGCAATTCTCCTGCCTCAGCCTCCTAAGTAGCTGGGATTACAGGCACACGCCACCACGCCCAGCTAGTTTTATTGTATTTTTAGTAGAGACAGGGTTTTACCATGTTGACCAGGATGGTCTCGATCTTTCGACCTCGTGATCCACCCGCCTCGGCCTCCCAAAGTGCTGGGATTACAGGCCTGAGCCACCGCGCCCGGCGCATCTTTATGTTTTTAAGCAGAGAGAACTTCCCCTACTTTGAGGGCATTAGGAGGAGCAGTTAATGTATAAGATAACGGTGACAATTCTATTTAATCAGGTATTATTTAATATGGTGTGATTATCACAAGATACTCATATTTATTTCAACTTGGAGAAACTCAGCAGACATTTGGATGTGGCAAAAGTTCAGCCTGTACAGAGCTATTGGAAACTAATCCTTTAAAATCCAGCCTAAGAAATCACTTTTATATAAGTTTCTAAGACAAGTGGGAACAAAAAATAGCTATTATAATGTATTTCTACTGGTAGGCATTTGAGGACCAGAGAAATTTCACTACGTTTTCATTTTATTAAGTTAACCCTTTATCTCACACCATGCCCTGTCTTACACCATACTCTGTCAGCTACTGAAAGATTTTTAGAACTTGCTGTACCAGGGCCAGATACATAAGTTAACATGAACTAGGTACTAAATAATGTACCTGGAGAGTATGGTGGTAAAAAAAAATCCAACTCCTATGTCCTTGAGGAATTTATCATTATGCGTGAAAAATGGACAACTATGGTATAGATTAGTATTTTTTTAGAGTATGTATTATGACCCCCACTAGTGAGTAACAAAAACTACCCAAAGGAATACAATAGAGTGAAAAATTTCAGGTTACCTTTTGATCATGAATGCAAGTATTATTTGGTGAAACTTGAGTTGGTTAGACATACACATACGCTAGATAGGCTAGGTGACTTAAGTCACAGTATGGGCTCTGGTAAAAAGTTTAAGGAACACTGACATAAGTAACTAACAAGATGTAACTGTCCTTGTAACTAATAACACAAGAAAAGAAATGCGTGTCTTGGATAAGGAAAGAAAAGTTTTCACATTACATTTCCTCACAGAAGTTAAAATTGCTTCTTTTTACTTGCTAACTTTTTGAGAGGTTGGTCATCTGTATAAAGGTGTGCTGTCTAGAAGCATGGTGTCGAATCTCTTCATGATGGTGTCCACACTGTCAGCTTTGAAGGGAGTACTTTATGAAATAGTTCAAATGCAAGGCATTAAACTGTACAAGTAGATTACTGTGGGGGAGCAATCAGAATAATGCACAATTAACTGAGATGAGTTTTTGGGCTACTGTGGTCCTCACTAAGATGCAGTTTGCACTACATAAAATCTTGTATCAAAACATGAGTGGATTATCTTTATGAGAGGAATATGCTAAAACCTCTAATATTTTTCTATTAAACAAGAATGTACCAAGATAATGGTTTATATTTGTCCTGTGGATAACTTCTATTTTCGCTTTTCTTTGTGAGATTAGATAATTTTCAGGGCACTATGGAGTTCCTCCAAAGTCGTTGGGTTTTAACAAATCAGTGACTGTCCCCTTTCTAACTCAAGAATGGTGAGTTAGAATGGTAACTGTGACTCCTTACAGTCTCCATCATCCTAAAGGGCTCTACACTACAGTTAACAGTGTTTTGTCCTGTGTTCACGTAATCATTTTCTTTTATGCCATGACTCCACTTTGGAATAGAAAGTCTGCCTAAGACTGCAGAGCTCCTAAAGAATAGAAGAATAATGTGAGGTAAAATTGTGAGACTTCTTTATCAGGCACTTTACCATAGAAAGGCTCTTTCATCAAATATTCCTGAGAGGCAGGGTACGGTGGTACATGCCTGTAATCCTACCACTTTGGGAGGCCGAAGCAGGTGGATAATTTGAGGTCAGGAGTTTGAGACCAGCCTGGCCAATATAGTGAAACCTTGTCTCTACTAAAAATAGAAAAATTTGCTAGGCCTGTGGTACACGCCTGTAATCCCAGCTGCTCAGGAGGTTGAGGCAGGAGAATTGCTTGAACCCTGGAGGCGGAGGTTGCAGTGAGCTCACTGCACTCCAGCCTGGGCAATGGAGTGGAACTCTGTCTCCAAAGGAAAATGTTCCTGAAATACTAATATGTAGCAGTGTACTCACCAAAACAAAATTCTTTCAGTTTTTTTTCAGGAAATCACAATGGAGTTTTTCCTTATATAATTTTACTAGCATTTGAAATATTTACAAACCAGCAATCATGTTTTCTTGCATTTTAAAAGCACAGAGTACTAAGGAAAAATTAAAATTCCAGTGAAATAGAAGAATTAGAGCTGTACTTTGCAAGAAGATTATCAAATTATTTATAATGTCAGTCTGCTTGTGGCTCCAAAGTTCTTTTGGAGAAAAGTAATTTGAGAAACTCTTTTCTATTAAGAATTTATGTAAATTTTGCTTTCCATCCTGTTTTATGAGTTTGTACTCAATACAAAAAGTTTATTTAAATATTCACATAAATATTCATATTTTAGGAAGATTAGCTTTGTTCATCTTAGAATTTCTCCTGTGCCCTTGGTAGAATTTCTCCTGTGTCACTTTTTTTCAGCCTGTCAGCAAGGGTGCAGGAGATCTGCATTGGAAATTTCAGGTTAAGGTTAGCTCTGGGTATTGGTCAGAAGAGATTGTATTTTAACTTTCTATGAGTTTCATTCCTCTTTTACTTTTTGGTATTTTGTTTTGAAATTGATTTAAAATTAAATATTAGAAATTGTTGGCAGGATAATTGCTATTTTTCTTTCTCATTTTCTCTTAATCAGAAAAAGAATAAACCAAGGGAACCACCCAAAGTACCCAAATCAGCACCATTTTTCATTCCAACAATTCCTGGTCTTGTACCCAGATATGCTGCACCTGAACAAAATAATGATCCTCAGCAGGTAAAAAACAAATTAGAACATTCTAAGTATATGAGTGTATGTTTGTTTGTATGTGTTTTGTGCACTTATTTAACAAGACCTAGTTTTACAGATATGGGGTAAATTGATGATAGCTTTTAATTACAAACTGTACATTATCGGATGTTACTTGTATTATTTGAATAATGTCTATTTGTTTTTGTTTAAGTCTAAAGTGGTAAATCTTGGAGTTTTGGCTCAAAAATCAGATTTCTGCTTGAAACTTGAAGAAGGACTGGTAAATAATAAATGTAAGTTGAATTATAAAATATTTTAACAAATATCTTCAGCTTATTTTATATGAGGAGAGATTGAAAGAAGTATTATCAGATTTCTCAGTAGTTAAGAGAAGATAGTAAAAATTAAAATGATTGAAATTTTGGTTTTAATTTCAAGTAATTTTAGCTTTTATATTAAATAAGTTCACTAAACTCAAATGGTATTGATATTACAAAAATCTGTTGAAGATTTTTCATATTTCTAATTTATTTTTTGCTATTTGGAGATGAACATATCTATTGACTACATTTATAATGAGATCCTTCTTGATGGGAATTAAGTGTAATTCAATTCATTTATAATGAGATCCTTCTTGATGTGAATTAAGTGTAAAAATTTAGTATGTCATTTTTTGTATCAGAAAATTTGCAAGCCTTTTGTTTTTATTTATAATTTGTAATACAGCAGACTGCTTAGATGATTTCATGTATTTTCAAATTATTCTATTAAAAGGGAAATGTTTTAATCTACCTCTTTTGTTAATACATTTAAATTTTGAAGGCTACAATCTGTAGCTAATAGTGATGAGCCATAAGAAATGTAATCGCGGCCGGGCGCGGTGGCTCAAGCCTGTAATCCCAGCACTTTGGGAGGCCGAGGCGGGTGGATCACGAGGTCAAGAGATCGAGACCATCCCGGTCAACATAGTGAAACCCCGTCTCTACTAAAAATACAAAAAATTAGCTGGGCATGGTGGCACGTGCCTGTAATCCCAGCTACTCGGGAGGCTGAGGCAGGAGAATTGCCTGAACCCAGGAGGCGGAGGTTGCGGTGAGCCGAGATCGCGCCATTGCACTCCAGCCTGGGTAACAAGAGCGAAACTCCGTCTCATGTAATCACTTAAAAAATCATGGTCACTCTCCTGATAATTTTAACTTATCCTCTTGTTTTGATTCAAATGCTTTTGTTTTCATACTAAGATCACTTGAGTCCACATTAGCAAAAGTCAAAGAAGGATACTAATAAGCCCTTGTAAATGACTTCTTAATGTTTGTGGGGAGACAAAAAAATAAAAACACTGTTGTTTAATATATACTGAAGGATCTAAAATGGATTAGACTTTTGTCATTGGTGATGTTCCTTTTCAGAAAGCTAAAGCATAGTCATTGCAATTCTCATATTAAGTGGCTCATAAAAAATAGCTGTAAGTGTATTGAGTATGTTTTCCTAGGGTACATATGAAACAACACTTCTAGGGAGAAGAAGTAGGTTTGGGCTGGGTAAGAATAAGGGGTATGGTCTTTCCCCTCTGATTTTATGTATTTCTATATTGTTAGTATTAAATTTCCTAATGATTATGTACTTTTATAACATTATAACAATAAAAAAGAAAAATAAATTATTATGCCTCATCAGATTTCCACTGCTAACCACTATTAATACTTTTACTTGTATCTTTATAGCCTTCTTATATTAGGATTTACTCTGAGAGAGATATGAGCATTTTTAAATTTTAAACTTTCTGTTGTGAGGCATTAGATTCTAACAGGAAAAAAGGTTAAATTATGGGGAAAAAAGTGTTCTAAGTACTTTCTTTTTTATTGCTGTCATCATTTGTATTGATTTTCAATTATTTTGAATTTCATTCTACTACATAATATGAAAAAGATTAATTGACAGGAAGAATCTCCCATTCCATTTAAACATATGGGTATGGAAGGGAAAACTGTACTTTTCTATGATAAATTATTATAATCAAATCATAACTGGACTCTTTTTAAAATGTAATGCAGATGACATGGCTCTCAACCTTCTGAAAGAATTAGGCCCATCAGGAATTGAAACAGAGCTGCGAAGCTTGTCTCCTGATTGTGGTGGGTCTATAGAAGTCATGCAGAGCTTCTTGAAAATGATTGGGATGATGCTGGACAGAAAGCGTGATTTCGAGTTAGCCCAGGCATACCTTGCATTGTTTCTAAAGGTAAGTCTAATGTCAGGTGGTACTACCCAGCTTTTCTTCCTCTGTGGCAGTGCTATCTAATAGAACTTTCTGCAAAGATGGGTATGTTCTATATCCACCCTTTCCAATATTGTAGCCACTTGCCACATGTAGCTACTGAATATTTGAAATGTAGACAATATGATCAAGAAACTGAATTTTTAATTTTATACAGTTTTAATTAATTGAAATTTAAATACTCACATGTGGCTATTGACTACTGCATTGGACAGCTGGACAGTATAGCTTGGTAGTCTTGTTTTCCTTTCTTACTCAACTGCACAACAATTTTGACTTTACCCCCTGACCTGATGCTGTCTGCTTGAACCAGTGTGCTGAACTATTAACTTTTCTTTTTTCAGTGGTTAGTTACATTTTGGAAGTTTTTTGTGATTGTGAATAGAAAACCGGGTTTTGTTTGTTTGTTTTACTACTGAAATCAAAATATTTACTTCTATCCTTGGTAAAGGAATTTTGATCATTTGACAATAAGAGAGTTATTTTAAGATTAGTATAGAGGAGAACTCACGTTTTGAGGGTCTACTTTAGTGGTATAATGTGTTGAAGGAGGTAGATGATGCCAATTTTTGGTGATAATAGATTTGATTTTTATCCCATTCATACCTAAAATGACCTAATTATTTAAAAGTTAGATATTTAGGAAGTGACATGTAGGATTAAAATACAGAAATGCCACAAATTGTCTCTAAATCTTTTTCCAAAGTTGCGAAGTGTTAGTTCCCAAATATGAATTTACTGAAATTTTAGAAGATAAAGGACCCTGTCTGCCATTTATTACCAATGTGGAATATTGAGAGGGAAAACATACAGCAATGTGGAAATGTGAATTTAGTCTTAGAACTAGGACCTTGTTTCTGGATCTGTACCAGGACTGTCTTTAGGTGGAGAAGAGTGATGACCACTTTAATTCTACCAGAGAAGCGATAGTACCATAAAGGAGCTTATAATAAAAAAAAGTTTGATAGAGGAAGGGAAAATTGGAGATAGGAATAAACCAACGCTTAAGAAAAAAGTATTCAAATAATGTCTTGTGTGGTTCCTTTGGTCGAAAAATTGAATCCAGATTAGTTAAAATTTTAATTGTCTTAAATGTTAAACTGTCATATTTTTTTCATTGCAGTTACACCTTAAAATGCTTCCTTCAGAGCCAATACTCCTAGAAGAAATAACAAATTTGTCATCCCAGGTGGAAGAAAACTGGATCCATTTGCAATCACTCTTCAATCAAAGCATGTGTATATTAAATTACCTCAAAAGTGCTTTGTTATGAAAATAAATTTGTGACTAAACAAATCAAAGACTTACATATTAAATAGGTTCAATTGAACTCATTTCTTATTTTCCAAGGGTCAATGTGAAAAGAAAATAAGGGCTAGCACTCTTAACTGGTCAGTAAATCTCCACTTTAAATGCTAAATACTTTCTTGAAGTAAAATCACACGTGCCACCTAGGCAGATGGATAATGCCTGTAATTCCAGCACTTCGGGAGGCCAAAGCGGGAGGATTGCTTGAGACCAGCCTGGGCAACATAGCAAGCAAGATCCCATCTCTACAAAAAGTTTAAAAAAATAAATTATACCTACCTTTTGTTTTGAAGACTCAAAAGAATCTGCTCAAATGATTTATTTTCTGAGTCTCTTCACATTAGCTTTTATAGTATTTTAAATAATTATTTTTAATTATGAAAATTATTTTAAATTCAAAAATTTTAAAATTATTACCTGCTATATTTTTTGAGTATATATCTCATATAAGAGATGCTGCATGTTCACTGTGAAGTATTGCTGAATTAAATTGAAAATGTCAGATATAAGACTGGCCTAGTGCTTTCTCCATTGTAACATACTGAAAGGAAGTTGTTCATGGATCAGAAATGTGGGAGGCCCTTCCTTGCCCAAGGCAAATTGCTGTAGACATTTAAACTGATAGCAAGGATAGGTAAGGGAAATTCCAAATTCCATCGGAAGTTGGCCTTCAAAGGTTTTCCTTCCTCACTGATGACCTTTTTATTTGGGAGGAAACTGCTGAATACACTTTTCTTTAGAAACCAGGTAGCCCTGGAGTTGTCTTTTCTTCCTCATCATCATTTTGGTTTTTTTTATGGCTCAAGACTTTTGCAATACATGAATTAAAAATAAGCAGTTCTTTAAAGCACAGTGATCTAAAAACGATTCTTAGTTTATACACTCAAAAGTTGGGTCTTTCATGAAATGCAGTGGGTTGAATGCAAACACCAGTAGCGTCTTGTTCAGCTAAGGGAGTTTTAGGGAATAATCTCCAGAAGAAGCAAAAGGCGTTTACCAATGATACCTTTAATGTTCATGTTTTTATTTAATGATGTAAGGTAAAAATTAGTAAACTACTAAGGAAATAAACCAATCTGGTTATTGTACTGAATTTCGGGGGTTTTTTTAGAAATGTGTATTGACTTAATGCCATTGATGGAAATGTTAATAATGACTTAAGTTCTAACTTAAAAAATGATATTTTTCTCTTCCTAAATACTATATTCTAAATTGGAATATGGCAAAATTCTAATATATAATTCTATGCCTAGTAAAGATTGTAAATCACTAAAACAAAATGATAAGCACTATAAACTGAAGTTGTATTGCTTATACAAATCATGAACCAAATTTTCTTCTCTTTTAAAGTGAGCATATAGACTTCAGTGTATTGCTATCGGAGATACATTTAGGTAGTATTACATCATCATTTTGGCAGGTAATCTTCTAGACCTTTCATGTACTGTTTCCATCAAGGGCAGGAAAGAAATACAAAATATAATTTTGCCTGTATTTTCCTTAAAAATATATCAATCTGTGCATACTGGTTTACCTTTAAATTTTTAAATTGCACATGTAATATATGGCTACATTTTGGTTGTGTACTTTTTTGAAAACCATCTTCAGTCCCAATACCCTCCGTAGAAGTAAGTTATTAACTCTCCTAGATCTTGTTTTAGACTGTTTTTATGAGTGTTTAAGAATGTGTATATATTATCTGCAGCCGCAGGAAATGTACAGTTGTGATTTTAACGAACATATAGGTATATGATTCTACAGCTTGCTGTTTCTACTCGGGAGTTTTTTATTTTTGTATATTCATATTTACCTAATCTCTTTTGCAGTGTCCAACAGTTGCTTTTGCCTATGATAGACACTTAAGGAAGTTTTCCTTCTTTTTTTCTCCTTTATAATTACAAACAATGCTGGAAGGAACATTATTCTATATGAGCCCTTTTTGTACATATACGGATTTCTCTGTAGTATATGCTTAGGATTTCAATTTCAGGCCGGAGTATAAGCATTTTTAATTTGAAGTGATGCTTCCATTTGGCTTCCAGAATGGCTGGATCAAGTTATAGTTCCCCTCAGCAACAAATGAGAATCTGCTTCCCCACATAATTAACGAAACTTGCTATTAGATTTTTGTAATGTTTATTAATCTAATTTTAAAAATTATTTTTGTTTTGAATCAAATTTCTCACTAGTGAGGATGGACATATTTTTGTATGTTTATTTTAAAACATATAAACATATTGTGAATTGTCTTTTTCCTCTACTGTTGAATGATTTGTCCCTTTATCTCACAGATTTGTTAGGAGTTCTCTTGTATTTTCTGTGTTAATCTTTTATGCCTGTTGCCAGCATTTTCTCCTACTTAGCCATTTGGCTTTAATTTTACATGGTGCCTTTTTAAATAAATGTTTTATATTTGTGTACAATCAAATTGATTAATTTCATGACTTTTACTTCAAGATCGAAAGCAAGTTATTTTTTGAGACTGAGTCTTGCACTGTCGCCCAGGCTGGAGTTCTGTGGCCTTGGCTCACTGCAACCTCTGCCTCCTAGGTTCAAGCAATTCTGCCTCAGCCTCCCGAGTAGCTGGGATTACAGGCACGCACCACCATGCCTGGCTAATGTTTGTATTTTTAGTAGAGACAGGGTTTCACCTTGTTTGTCAGGCTATTCTGAAATTCCTGACCTCGTGATCCACCGGCCTCAGCCTCCCAAAGTGCTGGGATTACAGGTGTGAGCCATCACACCTGGCCAAAGCAAATTATTTTCTAAGACATTTACAATATGTATCTTCCTATGTTTGCATGTGTTCATTTCACATTTCATATTTATCATGTTTTCCTCTATGACCTGAGTCTGTGTGAGTAATGTGTAGATCTTTATCTAGAATTGATTTTTGTGAAGAGTAAAACAGAGCGCTGCCTCCAGTATCTGTTCAAAACTCATTTATTGAAAAGTCCACTCTTAATGTCCAATTTGAAATGCTACTTCTTTATGTGTTAAATTATTTCATTGAGCTATTTGATATTCCTAATAATGCATTAGTTTGATTATAGTTTGGTATGTTTTCAAATTTAGGGCAAAGCCTTCTTAAAGTTTTATAAAAATTTATTGACTGCTGGTTAGCATAATCTCTTGAGGTTTTGATATGGGTTGCACCACATTTACAGGACTGATTTGGAGAGACCTATAAGACTGAGTACAGTCCTCCCTTGGTATCCAGTTCCAGGACTCCTGCGGATACCAAAATCCGAGCAGGTCCCACGATCTGCTTTGCAGATCATGGATATGATATGCATATGAAAAGTCAGCCCTTGTATTTGAGGGTTTTTCATCCCTCAAATACCATATGTTTTATCTGTGTTTGGTTGAAAAAGAATTTGCATATAAGTGAAACTTTGCATTCCAAACCTGTGTTGTTCAGGACCACCTGTATTTCCCTTCAAGAACAATGAATGTCTTCATTAAATCATCTTTTGTGGGAGAGCTTTTGGTTTCATGGATTTTCATATATATATAATAAATATATAAAACCCTTTTTGACATTCTGGGAATTTTGTTACTATAAAAAAATTTCATTTTCTAATACATATTATAATTGGTTGTTGCTGTTTGTGGTAAAATGATTTGATTTTTATATTCCAATCTCAACTGCCGAACACTTTGTCAATACAGTGTCACTAGAAAATCCAAAAGAATTTTATCTTCTGCAATTGATGAGACTTTATTTCCTAGCCAATATTTGTGTACTTGAAATTTTTGTGCATTAGAAATTTTTATACTTTAAATATATGCCCTTTGTAAAGATAAAAGCACTGAGGATAGAAAATATGTAAACTGATTGATATATATATTTTGTATTGTATGAAAAGAAATATAATTTAAAAGCTGTTACAATCCCCAAGACATTTTAAGCCTTGAGAGAGATGTGATGTTGATCTCAGTCACATATGGCTACTTCTTTTAGATTATAGATCAACTCACTTTCTTATTTTGCTTGTTCTGTGCAATGACTAGAGATAATTAAATGATGTCAAGAACGAAAAAAACCTCTTGCCTTTTTAATGACCTTGTTATAGATCAATTTCCCCTTTATTGTCCTGCTTTGCTTAGACCAGATGTCAGAAAACCTACAAGTATTTCACCCTCTATAAAAAATGCTAAATGTACCCTTCCCCAAAAAAATCCTATAACCAAATTCCTATAACTATTTCCCAACCTTGCATGAATAATGTTATAATCCTGCTAAAAGAAACTCCTCTGTCTCTACCTACATAAATGAGACCTTAACTTCTCTACTTTAGAATACTGACTCTTTGGAGTTGGTGTTTCCGGGGGGCTATCCTTAAACTTTGCACATTTATAAACTCTCTTTAAATTAGATTCATACCCTTTCGATTATTTTAGGTTGACATAAACAGGTTGTTAAAAAATTTGGGAAGGCCATAGTTTTGCACTGAGCTTTCTGCACTGGGTCCCAGCAGACCAGACCAAACTATAATGAAGTCACTCATGCTAAATGCCACATAATCAAACTGAAACTTCAGTGAAGCAGGTAGATTCCAAAACAGACCATTGTTACCTTAGAAAACAGGAGATTTCCGTCAACCTGAGTCAGCACAATAAGGTAGCCTCTTCTACTTTAACCCTTACAAAAAGTAACCTGATGTTAACCTTTTTTCTCTAGTGTTCGATTTCCTTGTTATCAGCTTATAAAACTCCCTGGGAGTTCTCATTGTACTTTATAGAATGAAGGGCTTCCCTGATGAATGGTGAATAAAAGCCAATTAAATTTATAACTTGTAATTTTGTTTTCTGATAGTCAAAGTGCCCAGGGAGAGCCAGGTCATTGAGACAAGATTTTACTAATGTGTTTGCCTGCAAGGCTGATGTTAATATTTTTTTAATTATATTTTCTATCATGTTATTTAGGACTCTTGACTGCAAATTATAATCTTTAAACAGGAAGGGAAATATAAGAATTCAGGAATATTGGATTATCTAATAAGGGTTAGGTCACTTTGTTTTCAGGAATTTTTTGTAACCTGTGGCACAGAAATGCAAGAAGTACTCTTTGAATTCTGCTTTTCTTTGCAGAGTGCTTCATTCCTTTGATTGTGTTTTTCCTCTGCAACCAGTACCTGCCAAAGGCAGTCAACAATCCACTTGATGTTCAGCCTATTCCTAGAATTGAGATTGCGCACTGATGACTAAAAACCCTCCCATCTGGGTCCTAAGTCTTCCCCTCATTTATTAC